ATATAGCAATAGTCAAAAAGGTAAAAAGCATTCAAATAGAGAAAAGGTGATGTCCACAAAATCAGCAAATAACCCAAATCCAAGTTAGGAGACAAATCAGTCCCAAAATCCAAGAAGCAAATCCATAGGAAGAAAGTCTTTCTTTTCCAAAGGTGGCAAATGCAAAAGTCCCTTGAAGAAACAGGAGCCAACTTGAATCAAATAATCTAAATGCAGTAGCTTGAAATCACAAACACCAGCTTACAAAAATCTCAGCATGTGCATGAATACAAAGCAAGATTATACATGATTCCCCGCATGAACAAGCAAGCATGAAGCAGGCATGAAAACCAAATGTTGGACTTACTGAAGAGTATAGACTCACAGGCCCTATATTTATTCAGAAAGCCATGGCAAAAGCATTCCCTTTCCCTTGGGAAACCTCTCCCTGACCCCCTGATTCTCTTAATCTTTCAGACCGTCTTCTGCCCCCTTCCAGGTATGATGATGATTGATTTGACTTCTCCTATCAAAGACTGGACTACTGCAATGCACTCTACGTGGGGCTGCCCTTGAAAACGGCCCAGAAATTTTAGATGAGCGGCAGCCAGGTTGTTAACTTGTGCTCCTTACAGGGAGAGGTCATCCCTCCTGTTCAAGGAGCTCCACTGACTGCCATTCATCTACCAGACCCAATTCAAGGTGCAGGTTCTTACCTACAAAGCCCTGAACGGTTTGGGACCCGCCTACCTGTGTGACCGCATCTCTGTATACGAACCCACACGATCTCTTCGTTCATCTGGAGAGGCCCTGCTCTCGATCCCACCAGCATCGCAGGCACGATTGGTGGGGATGAGAGAGAGGGCCTTTTCGGTAGTGGCCCCTCAACTCTGGAACTCACTCCCTAAGGACATCAGGCAGGCCTCAACCCTGGGGTCTTCAGGAGGAGCTTGAAGATGTGGTTGTGCGAGTGTGCCTTCCCGGAATAATGATCCCATAGCACTTTGTCCCTCCAAAGCACTTTATACTTTTAGGTCTGCTCGTATGTCTTCCACAAACGCCACTATCGCCTTTTCGTCCATGCCTCAGCACTTTTCCAATTTTAATTTTTACATTTGGCCTTCCCACAATTTTTAATTGTATGTTGTCTTATTGATAATGTTATATGTTTATCGTTTATGTTTTATTTTAATTGCTTGTATTGTTGTATTATTGCCTGCATTGTTGTGTTTGGGCTTGGCCTCATGTAAGCCGCACCGAGTCCCTTGGGGAGATGGTATCAGGGTACTAATAAAGTGTTGTTGTTGTTGTTGTTATTATTATTAAGAGTGTCTGGTCGTCCCTCAGCTTGCCAATTAGTACATTCCTTTCACTATCACTATCTGGCCTTGGCCGTTCAACCTTTTCCTCGGCCCCTTTTTCTGTTAGCATCGAAGCATCTTTGCCTTGGGAACCAACGATCCCAGAATCCTCTGGTTCACTCTGGCTAGAACCAGATACTGTGTCAAAGAAGAGTTCAGATTCAGAGCCTCAAGAGAAACAATGTTTGTTCATCTTGTCAGGCAGCCCATCTAAAGATTACTTAGAAACCATTTCTATTAACAACAAAGACATGAAAGGACTTCGAGATACAGGCTCTGAAGTATGTATAGTGCATCCAGAAATAATACCTCAGGAATTTCAGCGGCCTACCTCTGAAATAAGATTAAAAGGTTTAGGACCTGCGATACCAACAGCAGTAGTGACTTTGCCAATAGAATATGGAGGATGGAAGGGTATGTGGGATTTTGCAGTCAGTCCTGACATACCATACAGATGTTTAATTGGAAATGATTTGGCTAAGAAGATTGAAAGCTGGAGGATGACGTGTGAAGAGGAAGAATATAACAACGAAAGCCATGATCAAAAAGCCATGTGTTTTGCCATACAACAGGATGGGGAGGAGAGTCCGGAATCCAGCGCTACGGTTGCTGAGCTTGTTAAGAAGACGGGAGGAATTGAAGAAATTCGGCAGGAACAAGGAGCCGATGAATCTCTTAAACCTCTATTCGCTTTGGCTCAAAACCCCACAATATTGGCAAAAGAACAGCCCTCCGAGTTTGTGTTAAAGAATGGTGTTTTATATAGAAAAACCAGGAATGTGGAGTCAACAGAAGAATCAGTGACAAGTAGTCAAATTGTAGTGCCTCAAAGTTTTAGAGAACAGCTGATGAGGGTGGCACACGAAAACCCTCAAGGTGGACATTTGGGTGTGAGGAAAACCACAAAGAGAATCACTAAGAACTTTTATTGGCCTGGCGTGTTCCAGAAGATCAAAGAGTTTTGCCAGTCTTGTGACATCTGCCAAAGATTGAGTACTGGAAGGGATAAAATTAAAGCTCCTATGATCCCTATGCCAATAATTGGAGAACCATTTTACAGAGTGGGCATTGACATAGTGGGTCCTCTTTGTAAACCAAGCAGACGTGGTTACCGATACATTTTAACCATGATTGACTACGCCACAAGATATCCAGAGGCTGTAGCTCTAACTAACATCGAGACAACAACGATTGCAAATGCACTGTTATCCATTTGGGGAAGAACTGGTTATCCTAGAGAATTGGTTTCAGATTTGGGAACCCAATTCACTTCCAGACTTATGTCGAAATTGCTTGAGTTATGTGGTATCAGACACCTGACTTCAACAGCTTATCATCCACAGACAAATGGACTAGTTGAAAATATGAACAAGACTTTAGTCAAAATGATAAAGTCTTACAGTCAAGAGAAGCCATACGACTGGGACGTCAAATTGCAACAACTGTTATTCGCCTACAGGACCGTCCCTCATGACAGTAC